CATTTTTCTTCTGATTAATTCCTGGATGAGGTCTGAAGACTCAGGTCATTGCAGTGAATGGTTAAATGAGGCAGGTACATGGTACATATCACTCTTCTCCAAAAGCCTGGGAGGGGAGAGTGTGTGTGTGTGTGTGTGTGTGTGTGTGTGTGTGTACCAGGAAGTAGGTTCAGAAAACAAATTCTCAAGAAGAATTCCAAAACTGAAAGTGTGTGGTTTTGGGGGCCCAAGAAGTTTCAAAGTTTGAGGAGAGGGTGTGAATGTCTACAAGTGAGCTGGGAGGAAAACTTACTAATTTTTCAATCTAAGAAGCCTAATTCACATGAATGATTTCTCCCGGAGTAAGACCTTTCCAGATCTGTTGGTGCTATTGAGCTGGTATTTCAAGTATGTCCATCTGCATTTAAACGAATTGCTCCAAGACAATCTGATTATGCGGTAGTTACTTTGGTGAGAATAGCGCCTCAGTGGAATGGAAACTTCATTTTGAGTCTAATATTAGACCTTGCTTTGGAAAATTCCTTTTAAATGATCACAAGCTGGGAATAGCAAAAGAATTTAACTTTCGACAGACAGCATTTACCAAGAATTTTTAACTGCTTATGTTGGGTCCCTGGGAAGGCAGATGTGAGAAACCTACTGGACCAAATTGACTAGATGAGAGTTGACTTGACCTGGTGCAGGGTTTATATCTGTTGCTGATAAGTTTCCCTCTGAGTCTCCTTTCCTCAAAATATTTTCATTCTTAGAGTGTGAGCAAGCTAGGGATGAAAATTGCTAGGATGCCGGACATGGATGGCCTAACAGTCCAGTTTCTAGGCCAGCAGACTGTGCCTGTCTGTACAGGGGTCTGAGGCAGGGCAGAAACGTAGACCACTGAGGAAAGAAAGTACAAACCAACCCATAAGCAAAGCTGGTCCCTAAGTCTGGGTTAGGAACGTGATCAGACCTGGCCTTTAGAGAGTAATTCTAGTTTGTTTGACTGGTTGTGTCTGCATGAATTTACCCACCTCAGAAGGGGTCATTGAGCTTTAGTGAAGCACCGCCCTCTGTCATTTAAATAGTAATTGTGAAGTTTCCAGATCATGTCTGCATTGGCTTAAATTAAGGATATGTTTTATGTGCCGTGGATGGATTAAACCAGTATTTGTGTTTGAGAAATGTGTTTTACTATTTTATTTTAAAAGATTTTTCTGAAATTGAAATGCCTCTTCTCATCACTCTGCTTGTTTAATGTGGTGGGTTTTCCCTCCTATATCTAATCTGGTAATAAGTGGATGGTGTCTTACAATTGGGAAAAACATGTACAAAATAAGAGTTACCGGGACTGGGGTTGTAGCTCTGTGGTAGATCACTTGCCTTGCATGCAGGAGACACCGGGTTCAAAACTCAGCATCACATAAAAATAAATAAATAAAGATATTGTGTCCATCTACAACTAAAAATATATTTAAAAAAAAAAAAAGAGTTACCTCTTATTGATGACTCCATGATTGATTCCAGGAACAACTCAACGTTATCTCTGATCTTTACAACAGCCCTGTGTGGTGGCAGTTAGCATGAGCCTGTTTCAAAGATGAGACTGAAACTTAGAAATTGTTCCATAGCTGGAGGGCTGGGGTTGTGGCTCAGTGGTAGTGCACCTGCCTAGCATGCGTGAGGCACTGGGTTCGATTCTCAGCACCACACACAAATAAGTAAAAATAAAAGTCCATCAACAACTAAAAAGTATTTTAAAAAATAAGTTAAAAAAAAAAGAAATAAAGAAATGTTCCGTAGTTTGCTTGTGGTCATCTGGCTAGTGATGGCTAATGAGTGGAGTTCAAACTCAAGGCTATTAAACTCGGGAGCTCATGTTCTTCCCTTGCCCTCTGTCATCCTCTGGTGCAACAATTCTTAAACTTTGTTGTCTTAGAATCCTTTTAAGCTCTTAAAAATTATTAAGAACCCTTGAACTTTTGTTCATGTTGATTATATCTTTTGATATTTATGGCACTTGAAATAAAATGGAAATTTAAAACATTAACTTATTAACTTTTTTGTGGGGGTTAAGGATGGAACCCAGGAACTCACATGTGCAGGTGCTCTACTGTTGAGCTCATCCCCCATCATTAACTCATTTTAAAGGGCATGAATCTATTGAATGTTGACATAACTAACTTTTTTATTAAAAATAATCATATTCTCCAAAACAAAAAGAGTAAGAAGAATGTCCATGTTTACCTTTTTTGCATGTGTTATCTAGCTAAACCGAAGGCAGCTGGGTTCTCATAACCTTCCACATTTAGCCCGTGCAATATTGTGTTTAGTTGAAATATATGAAGAAAATTTGACTTCACACAGGTATATATTTGGGAAAGATATGTGTTTTAAGTGCCTTTTTGGATAGTTATAGCTGCTTTCCTTTGAGTTCATCAAAATTCCAAAAGTGCTAGTTCCTTAAAAGGTATATGCATACCTTTTGGGAAAAACATGTACAAAATAAGAGTTACCAGGAGCAGAGAAGCCTGTGTGCAATCCCAGAGGCTCAGGAGGCTGGGGGGCTGGGGGTGTGTGCAGAATCGCAAGTTCCAGGCCAGCCTCAGCAAGGCGACACATTAAGCAACTCAGTGAGTTCTGTCTCTAAATAAAACACAAAATAGGGCTGGGGATGTGGCTCAGTGGTTGAGTGCCCATGAGTTCAATCCCCTGTACCTGCCCTCACCCCTCAAAAAAAAAAAGGTAGTTGCATTATAGAATCTAAAATCAAAACAATGGACTTTCAATACTCTGTCCCATTAAAATTCTTTGGCTGAAATATTCTTTTCACAAGATTGTGTGTGGATACTCTCCTCTCCAAATAATAATATATATAGATACCCCCCTACTCCAGGAAGTAGAGGTCAATTACTCTTCCTCACCCCTCCCTTGGGGGACAGATTTGACTTAGTGACTTGTTTCTAAAAATAGAATTAGAGCAAATGAGTGACTTTATCATGGGGAAACCTGGGAAGCACTACTTTAACCAAATGATGAAGGAGAACATTATCAACCATGTCATGAGAGTATCTCATAACCCCTTATGTGATGGAGTGACACAATCTAATCTAGTCATGAGAAAAACATCAGACAAACCTGAGACCCAACCAGAATTTCTTAAGATTGTTAATATCTGCTGGGTGTGGTGGTGCACAGGTATAATCCCAGTGACTCAGGAGACTGATGCAAGTTCAAGGCCAGTCTCAGCAATTTAGCAAGACCCTGTAACAAAAATGAAAAGGTCTAGGGATGTGGCTCAGTGGCAAATGGTCCCTGGGTTCAGTCCCCCAGTACCCTACCTCTACACACACACACACACACACACACACACACACACACACACACAAAAGATTGTCAATGTTATAAAAAACAAGGGAAGATTGAGAAGCTGTCATAGACCAGATGAAACTGGGAGCCATGACAGCTAGATGCAACCCAGTACTCTGGACTGGACAATGAAGCAGAGAAAAACATTTTTTTGGAAAAAAGGAAAATCCAAATAGAGTCTGGAGTTAATTTAATAGCAACATGTCAATGTCAAATTTTTAAAATAGTTAATGGCTAAAATACAGTGACAAATAGTTAATGGTTTATACAAGGTGTAACAGTAGAGAAACTGGGTGAAAAGTCCATAGGAACTTTCTCCTACCCTTGCAACTTTTCTGTAAATCTAAAATTATTTCTTTTTTTTAAAAAAAAAAAGTCCCATTGTTCTGTCTTGCACTTGGAGCAGATCATTTATCTAAGTGTGGTTTTGTAATATCATTGCCATAGTCACGAAAAATACTGGTTCACTGAGTTATGCAGCTTTTCAAACTGTTCACACATCTGCATTATTAGTATTTTAAAAGTTGCATTCATTAATATCATCACCTGTCCCATTTAAAAAAAAAAATCTTTACTGAGAAGCTGCCAAGCTTCCTAGTGGTGGATATGAGTTTCCCAAAATTCTGTTTTTTTGTTGAAATCTCAGTTTTTAATCACTGGCAGCAAGCACTGCCCATGACCTTCCTTGATGTGACATGATCATTTTGTTCATTTTTGCAAAAATGTCTCCCCAATACATCTAAATAACCATAATTTGTCTGACAGTCATTCTTTTAAGTAAAAATGGCATTCGATAAAAAAGTGACTTGGGCTGAGGGGTTAGCTCAGTGGTAGACCACTTGTCTGGCATGAGCAAGGCCCTGGGTTCCATCCCGAGCACTAAAAAAAAAAACAAAAAACAAAAAACACGAAAATTGTGGCCGGTTCAGCTGGCAGCAGTCACACAGGTGCTGTCCCTCAAAGCAGGTATCGTAATTCAGAATGTAGCAGAATGTTTATGATTCTTCCCATTTTGTCAAGTAGAATATTAAAAGAGATGTACTCAGAGTCAAGATCTAATGGAGTAAATATGTGTACTGCTTTATTTAGAACATTCTTAAGAGAAATGAACTCTTTGTTCTCTTGAAGCATGTCGTGGTGAGTAGTTTCCACTTGTGCCGGGGACTCCCGTGGCCTGGCTCCGGGCTAAGCAAGGTGCCTCTGTGCCATTGATTCAAGTATAAAAAGAGGGGAAAGGCCTATGACATTTTAATATTCTTAGGAAAATAATTTGACCTCATCAACCTTCAAAGGGTCTTGAGGACCCTTTAGGAGGTCCACAGACCACACTTAGAGACAATTGCTCTGTTCAAGTGACAGTTTGAAAGATTTTCCGGAGGAGGAGCTGCCAGTGCTGAAGACACATCTCTGAGTGAGCGGAGGACTGTGGCGCAGGACAGTGTGTGCAAAACCGGTCCCACCTTAATGTTTTCAGTGATTCGGGAAGCTTTTCCATTTGTTTCCACACCAATTTCAAGTACAGAAATATGACTTTGATAATTTGGTATGACATTTTTGCTGCAAAAGATTTGCTACCATTTTTACAATAATCACATATGTCATTCAGGGAATCTAAAAAATCAGCCCTTCAACTTTTTCTTTTCTCTTCTCTAAAGGTAAATCTCACCTGGCTATTGTGCAGCGGGTGAACAATGAGGGAGAAGGGGATCCGTTTTATGAAGTTCTGGGAATTGTCACCTTAGAAGATGTGATTGAAGAAATCATCAAATCTGAGATTCTAGATGAAACAGATTTATACAGTGAGTAGAATCATCTGAGTGTAATTTCCTAAAACCATTGCTTTTTCTGTCATGCTGTTTGTGAGTCATCTGACATTTCTTTTCCCACGTTGTCCGCCTCTGTTTATACTTAAGCATGATGTGTGTAGGCTGGGTACAACCTCTCAGTGTATTCTCATCCCTTTGTCAAGGGGGAAGAAGAGACAAATTCTATAATGATGAGTGGCAATGTTCTTTGAAAAGCCAGCTTCTCTTGACCATTAATCTGCATGTTGCTTGCCCCAAAGAGGAAATTCTGCTCTTGGTTTTCAAATGTATTTTACATTGTTCTTAATTTTCATTTTATACACCTGGGCAAATTGTTTCCAAATGAATTTCAGTTTTTTTTTTTTAAAGAGAGAGTGAGAGAGGAGAGAGAGTGAGAGAGAGAGAATTTTTAATATTTATTTTTTAGTTCTCAGTGGACACAACATCTTTGTTTGTATGTAGTGCTGAGGATTGAACCCGGGTCGCACGCATGCCAGGCGAGCGCGCTACCGCCTGAGCCACATCCCCAGCCCTCTTCTTAAGCTTATAATTCATGTATTTCAAAAGTGAATAGGATTTGTTAAATTGATGGATGATAGCTGATTAGATTTCCATGTTTCAGGATCCTTGGGCTTAGATCAGAGCAGGAGGGGTAGGAAAATATTCATAACTTGTTTGTCCAGACATTGGACTTGACCCTGGGCTAAGTGTTGCACTTGCTTCCTGTCTCATTCAAGTGTACAACTGAATTGCTGGACAGAGGACATCCCATCCCACTCTTAGCAATGGGACAGTCTTCCAGGAGTCATTGCCAAAGAGGTCCTAAGGCCCAAGAGGTTGGGGGCTCTTGGGATGGGGTAGAGAGAACATCTAGCTCTGTTTATTCTCTTGGCTCTGAAACGTGGCTTGGAGGGGGACATGAACTGTCCCAGTGGGTTGAGGCATCATCTTCTGAAAATGCACCCATTTTTCCCTTCACATCTGTATAGAGTTTTGGTTTTTTTCTTTTTCCTGGCCTTAACCATACATTTTATTACTTTTAAAATTTCTTCTAATTAGTTATACATGGCAGTAGAATTCATTTTGACACATCATACATAAATGACTGTATAGAGTTCTTTTTTTAAATTGATTTTTTAAAATAAATGACAGCAGAATGCATTACAATTCTTGTTATACATATAGAACACAATTTTTCATATCTCTGGTTGTATATAAAGTATGTTAACACCGACTCGTGTCTTCATACACGTACTTTGGATAATGATGTTCGTCACATTCCACCATCCTTGATAACCTGTATAGAGTTCTTGAAAACACTTTCCCACGTCTGCTTTATCCTTTTGACACTTGGAAAGTAGTCAAGGCCTCATAATAGAGAATGTTGTTATTTGCATGTTTACATTCTTTTCATCCTGCCTTCCAATCTGCTGATGAATACTAAGTGTGTCTCTGAATGCTTATGTGTTTTCCCAGGGAACCTCTTGTCATTAGAAAGACAACTTACAGTGTTTATGAGATCTCACCTACTTTGGTTTAATAGAAATGTTAGTTGAACTTCTTTTATCTGGGATTGGACTCCTTTCCTACAGAAGTGTTCCTTCCCATTACAGTACTTGTACCCAGCATGGTACTCAGTGCTGAACTTGTGATTTCAGGTATATTGTTGATCTATAATGTCTGGTGTTCAGAAGAATTTGAGACAGAAGAAAAGCATATAAGATGCGATTGCCTTCTCCCCCATGAAAAGCCTTGTAATCAATCTGTCTGGCCCTGCGCAGGAAGTGACAATGAAGTGACTCATGGTTCTTGGAGATAGAGCAAGAAATTAGGGTCTTGTCTTTAAGCCAGTTTTTTTTTTTTTTATCCTTGATAATTACTTTGTCCAGAGAAAAAAATTTAAAAAATAATTTGGCATAAAATGCCTTCTAGATTGGGGTTGGCAAGCTATAGTCCATGATTGCCTGTCACCTATTTTTGTATGGTCTGCAAGCTAAGAAGGGCTTTTCACATTTTTAAGTTGAAAGAAAAAGTAAAGAATAATTACTTTGTGATGTGGAAATTAAATGAAATTCAAATTTCTGTGTCCATAATTGAAATTTTGTTAGCATCCAGCTGTGCTCACTCATTTGCTGTACAGCAGTGTGGATCCTGTACCAGAAGCTGTATAGCCCACGGGGCCCCAGGTCTGCACTCCCTGGCCCTTTCCAGGGGAGGCTTGCTTGGCCCTGTTCTGGATCACCTTCTTCATGTTCACTTGACCTTGAGGAAATCATGGCATGTGGTAGAAGTGAAGTCAAAAGATATTAATTAAAGTCGTGTTTTGTGAATGCTTTCTTGTTTCCTGAGGGGTTTTGTTTGTATGTTATTTTCTTTCTTCTGAGGCGGGGCGGTCTCTTAAGGGCAGAGACAGTGTCCCTTGTGTGTGTCCAGGTGGCAGTTCTTCACTGGAGTGTGGTGACATTGAGTGGAGGCCATGCGTGCCTGTCTGCCCCGTCATGTCTGACATAAGGGCTCTCTGACGACCTTCTTGAGGTCTGATGTGGTGGCTGTGCTCTAGGCCAACTTGGTGGGACTTTGCCCCTTGCTCCTGGTGGTGTTTGGAGCAGAGAGCCCGCTCTTGCAGGGGCTGGCCTCCCGGTGTGCTTTGTCTCTTCCATCTGAAAAGATCCCTGTTCTAAAGGACTGTATTTCCTTATTTTCCTTCTTTTCTCATTCTTCCCTCAGCCGATAACAGAACGAAAAAGAAAGTGGCCCACCGTGAAAGAAAGCAAGATTTTTCTGCCTTTAAGCAGACAGACAGCGAGATGAAGGTTAAAATATCACCGCAGCTTCTCCTGGCCATGCACCGTTTCCTAGCAACAGGCAAGTGCGCTTATCACAGTTTGAGATCGCTGCCAGCCCTGGAGCCGTTTCTCACCAGCACTGAGTGGGGGGCTGGGGGTGGAGACTGGGAAATGGGGTGATAAGTAATGCCACTTTTGTGTTTTGTTTTTTGTTTTTTTTTTGTTTTTTTGTTTTGTTTTGTTTTTTTCTCTTTAAATTCTCTCCTCTCCTGTGTTCAGTGTCGGCATGAACCCTCTGAGACATTTACCAGGGGTGGACCAGTAACTTAAAATTGGTCTGAAAGGTAAGGATGAATGTCAGTGCCACACTGCATGTGTTCAGTAGGCCAGGCCATCTCCTTCCAGCTAAGTCCATGGGCCAGCCAGCTGGCGGAGTAGGCTGACAGTGCAAACCAGACACAGCTCGTTTGATTGGACAGTTGAGTAATTCTCTCTTCAGCTTGCCTTGGAAGAACAGTTGGACATCAGTGGTAACGCAGGTGCTATGATTTGCAAAGAAGAAACATAGGTTCTCAGACTTAAATCTCTATCTTTTACGGTTTTGATGAAATCAGAAATTCTAAGGACTTTGACATGGATTTCTTGGTGGCCTCTTCAAATCAGATTGTTAACTTGGGCCCATTCCAGGAGGCAAGTGTTCACATTATTAAAGCCACCAACCCAGCCGGCACTGACTGCTCCCGAGAGGTCAAGGTTGAATGGACTTAAGAGACTGACTAACCCTCTCACATCCCCACATGGCTCCCTAGGTGAAGGGTGAGCTCTGTTGGCCAGGGGAAGTGTGAGAAAATGTGAAAGTACCCAGAGGCTTGTAGAAGACGTCTGTTTCCAAGATGGGCAGCCAGTACCTTTCAACTGCATGCAGTATACTTAAAATATTTTGAAAAGAAGGCCAACAACAACCACGTGGTGGAATGCTACCTACGCTTTCAGATACATGGAAGTGCTCACAGTCTCATTTATGACATGGGAAGGTGTCCATGACTTTAATGTAAAGAGGGAAAAAAACAGGACCTAAAGCTATGTGTACATTAAGATCACAGTTGTGTTTCTGTGGTACACAGACACGCGTACACAGGCACACAGGCCTAGGCAAAGCACTGGAAAGAAATACTCACCAAATTGCTCTGAATGGTTATCGAAGTAGTTGGCTTATAGATAATTTTTATTTTCTTCTCTTTTTCTCTATTTTCCAAATTTTCTGCTATGTATTTTTTATTACCAAAAAGTCGCAGAAGTGAATACAGAATTTATAGCTCATATATAGCATCTAATTTAAAAAAAAAATAAAAATAAACAATATCTTTAACTTGCTTATTATTCTTCTTCTAATTCCGATAATATTGTCCTCATCATTTAAGAACCACACGTTAAAGCTGAATGTTATCCTACTCTGCCTCTGAGAAACCATAAAGTCCAGTTTCAGGAATAGCGCCCTCAAGTCAGTAATTTGGACATTTGTTATTTTAAAGAAAGCTCCTATCTCTGTCAGTGCTGACCAACATTCCTTTTTTTTGGTTTTTGGCAAGTTGGAGTGCATGTTGATGTGTGCACGGCCTTGCTTTTATTCCGATTTTCTCCCTCCGTGGTCCCCGGAATCGCAGGATAGTTGCGCGGGAGAGTGGAGGGGAGCCCGTGTCTGCACCGGTACTAACCCACGCCTCGGCACTGCCCGACCTTGGCTTCCTCCTCCCGCTGTCTTTGGACAGTCTGGTTGTCCTGCTTGTTGGAGGCCTCCTGGCGCTCAAGGAGCCTGCTGCTGATGGGTTTTCATTTCCATGTCAGAAACGTAGGGCATTTTTATGAGTCCGAACCCAATGACAGGGTGAAAAGGAAAGATTAAAAAGGAACAAACCTGAGAATGGAGCATTTTCTAATTTCTCCCAGGTAATCTGTCCCCAGTGGATCACCAGACGGAAGCCTTGTTCACCCATGTTGTATCACTTTGATGCCAAGTATTCTTGCTATCTGAACACCTTAATTACTAGCATGATCTTTTCCGTCCATTTGAAGTGTAATGTCAAGTTGTGTTTATGTCTATAGAAGTAGAAGCATTTAGCCCATCCCAGATGTCAGAGAAGATCCTTCTAAGGCTGCTAAAGCACCCCAATGTCATCCAGGAACTGAAGTATGATGAGAAGAACAAGAAAGCCCCAGAGTACTACCTCTACCAGCGCAACAGACCTGTAGACTACTTCGTTCTCATTCTTCAGGTCAGAGGAATTATTCAACAGTTGTTTGCTTCACTGAACACCCGCCTTTTCAATCTGAGGAGGCCTGGTGGAGGTGAATGGGTGTCAAGGTGTCCTAACTTTTTGTTTAGGGAAGAATTTCATCTGTTTTCATGTCTGTAAAATAATCCTGCTGGGAAGCAGTGCCACTGTTACTTTAGTTTCCAGCACCGAAGGGCACTTGGTGATGGCCGAGGCTCCGTGCTGAGTGAAGGATGGTGAATGTGGTTGTTGGTATTTTTTGAAGAGTTTGGAAAAGTACCTGTGCCTGTCCAAATCCCAATGGGTGTTTGAAACTTATTGTCATGGCTTCCTTGGGAACCTCTCTTCTTTTTTCTTCCCTCACGAGGACTTGGCCTTACATAGTGACCAAGCCATTAGCACCATCAAAATAATCCATTTATAGTTGTTTTTATCCTTAATACTAACTATAGACTCTGACAGAGGAACTGTTGGAAGGAGGACAGCATCTCCAGGCAGTGGTAACTAGTTCCTCTCATTAGAACACCATCCACCACCCAAGGGGAAGGCCATCCATTCTGACCCGCCGTGGGGCTTGGGTGCTGGAGTTGACAGGAGGCCTTGTTACATCTCAGTGCACAGCACACGGCCTGTGGCATGGAGACCAAGATGGATATCGCAGTGAATAAAATCCCAGGTTTCATGACTTCTTATACCTCTGTATTTTAAATTTTTAATTTTTTTGGTATTGGGGATTGAACCCAAGGACACTTTACCACTGAGCTGACCCCTGGTCCTTTTTATTTTGAGACAGAGCCTCACCTAGTTGAAGAGGGTGGCCTGAATTTGTGATCCTCCTGCTTCAGCCTCCTGAGTTGCTGGGATTAAGGCGCCCAGCTTGTACCTCTTTATCGGCGAGTCACTTTCTCAGGAAATCTGAGTTTTTCAATGCATGAATACTAGCACTTTAAGCTTTCTGATATTTCTTATTCCTTAGATATGAAGTGGAAACATGATTATAAGAATATAATTAGTACTTGGTAGGACCTAAAATTTATATGAGTCCTGCAAGGCCCCAGCTTTCTGAATCAAAAAAAGGTCATTTTTACTTGAAAACAACTCTTCTCAGATGTGTAGGTGTCAGAAACTCTGCCAGGTGTTGTGTTCAGATGTGTCCCTCGTCTGGGCAGGATCATGGTATGTGGGACCAGGAGGAAAGAGTAGAAAGACACCCTGGAGTGCTGATTGCGTGCCACTCTTAGCAGCTTCCTTCTCCAGGTTCATGAGTTCAGTGTCTACTAACTTGAGCCTCATTCACTCATTCTTCTTTTATTCTGTATATTGTAAGCTCAAAGCTGAGGGCACGGGAGCGGGGATATTTCATTTATTTCACCTATTCCCTAAGCCTAGAGAATTGAGTTATAGTTAAATGTTGTTGTTTAAAGGAATTTTGAGGATTGATACTGTGAATTTCAGTAGTAACAAATAATGTGACTTTCTGTTGTCTATTTTTGTGTAGTTAGCTTTTATTTAGTTGTGATTGGATAATGCTTTGTTGCTATAAAAGAAATCCATGGGTCTTAAAATGTTATAGGAAAGGAACTTTATAATCCTTGTCTATTTATAAGCAAGTCTTTTAAATGTATTTTTTTTTAAAGAGAGAGTGAGAGAGGAGAGAGAGAGAGAGAGAAATTTTTAATATTTATTTTTTTTTTAGTTCTCGGCGGACACAACATCTTTGTTGGTATGTGGTGCTGAGGATTGAACTTTGGCCGCACGCATGCCAGATGAGCGTGCTGCCGCCTGAGCCACATTCCCAGCCCCTTAAATGTATTTTTTGATAAGGTGTTTATGTATAAGTACTAGTATTTGAATATCTCCTCCTGTTAAATATTTATGTAAGTTGACAGGTTTGTTGAGCTGACAGTGTCATGGGGTGTTATAAATACTTTGATTGCTTGATGAACAGGCCCGTGGAGGTATTTAATCTTTAGATTTTAGCAGACTGCCCAGTTACCCGTGTTAAAATTGTGATAAACTTTCTTATGTAGGTTCATATTTGAGGCACTGTGGGTGTATATACCTTGTTCTTGTTTGTGTGAATGAAAAAACCCTAGACTTTTCTTTCACACAAACAGAACCCAGAAAATAACAGAGTGTCCCCTTTGATTCTAGAAAAATGTCTTAAGTAATTGACATTGTGACTCTAATTGTACATAGAATCATCATTTTTTTAGTTTAAACCCTAGATGAAATAAAGTGTAATTTAGTCAAAGAAAATGGTTTGAATAAACTTAATTAAAAGAATGTATTAAATTATGTAATACAAAGTTCTCCTACTACGCATACATAAAAAGGCTAAGTAAAACTTCAAGTTTTAAACAGAAATGTAGATTTTCAAGCTAAATTGTCAATATATGCCTTAAATAACCTAACAAAATATATGTAATTGTAGAAATGGTGAGGAACACAACTTTGGAGTTTTTTTTTATATTAGAGCTTTATAGTTATACGTAGTAGTTGGGTCCATCCCAACAGACTCACACATGCATGGAAATTGATTACAGCTCATGAGCTCCCCCACTTCTCCTTCTCTACTAGACTTTCTGTCCTCCCCCACTTCTCCTTCTCTACTAGACTTTCTTTCACTTACCTATTAATTTATATTTGGTTGGTTCTTTGTTATCCTATCCTTTCCTCCTCCTTTACTTTATTCTAGCTTCTGCATATGAGAGAAAACATTTGATTTTCGATTTTCTGAGTTTGGCTTATTTCACTTAGCATGATGTTCTCCATTTCTATCTGTGTACTGGCAGATGCCACAATTTCATTATTTTTATAGCTGAGTAGAACTCTGTGTATGTATAGATAGATAGGTAGATAGATAGGATGATTTCTTTTTTAATGTTTATTTTTTTAGTTGTAGTTGGACACACAATACCTTTATTTCACTTATTTATTTTTATGTGGTGCTGAAGCTCGAACCCAGGGTCTCGCACGTTCGAGGTGAGCGCTGTACTGCTGAGCCACAACCCCAGCCCCTGAGATGATTTCTGAATCCAGTCCTCTAGTGACAGGCACCTGGATTGATTCCATAATTTAGCTATTGTGAATCGTAGTACTATAAACGTTGATACGGTGGCTGTTATCGCTGTAGTATCCCAATTTCAGATCTTTGGGGAAAATACCAAGCCAAGACTTATGATGGTTCCATCCCTACTTTTTTGAGGCATCTCAGTAAAGATGTTTTTCCACCATCATAAAAGAGCAAGCATACCAAGAAAAGTTATATAGTAGTTTTAAATCTCATAACTAGTAAAAGAATAGATTTGAAGAAAATAAAACAAAAAAAGCCAGAGAAATATATTGTAAAAATGTTTGTGCACTCTTTCATAAAAATTGATCATTTACTGTGTCACAGTGTACACTCTAATAAATACCAAAACATAGGAATTTCATAAAACTTCTTGCATGGAGCATAATGAAATTAGGAATAAAAGCATAATCAAAAAGTAGTTACCTGTGTTAAAATTGTGATAAACTTTCTTATGTAGGTTTATATTTGAGGCACCGTGGGTGTGTATAACTTGTTCTTGTTTGTGTGAATGAAAAAAACCCTAGACTTTTCTTTTACACAAACATAAATATATGAAATTTCTTGAAAGGTGCTGGTTGTAATTGTCTCCTTTTGGGACGAGGCCTGGAGGGGGGAGTAGAGTTGAAGGGGGTGTTTCTCACTGTGGAGGTTGAGCTGTTTACTGTGGGCATGTGCTACCTATTTAAAAAGATAATTATTAAATATTAGAATTAATGGCAACTGAATTAGGGAGAAAATACATAGAATATCTTAAAATACATAGTATACCATAAAAGACTATTAAGTAATGTAATGCCATTTATTCAGTTTTAAGAAATTTTAAGTACTTAAATAAAAAAAAATGTGTTGCAAAATGACAAAGCAATAAAAGAACAAATTAAATAATAAAATAAAAATAAAAATAAACTAAAAAATAAAAGTAGGGGGGTCATGAGGGTAGGAAAGATGATGGAATGAGATGGACATTATTACTGTAGGTACATGGATGATTGCACAAATGGTGTCTCTACGTCATGTACAACCAGAGAATTGAAATGTTGTGCTCCATTTGTGTAAGATTAATCAAAATGCATTCTGCTGTCATGTACAACTAAGTAGAACAAATAAAAATAAATAAATTAGTTAAAAAAAAAGAAACATTCCAATTTTCTCCTTGAGGAAAGCCCTCAGGGCATTATCGTGCTTTAAAGACAATTAGATACTCTCCTTCCTCTCAAAACTTAAGGTGCCCCCCCACACACACACACAAAAAAAAAAACTAAAAAATAAAACCTATAACTGATAGGAAAACCAAATGTTGATTTTATTTATTTTTTTAAATTTTTAAATGTTTTTAGTTGTTGATGGACCTTTGTTTTATTTACTTATATAACCTCACGCATGCTAGGCATGCGCTCTATCACTGATCCACAACCCCAGCCCATTTATTAGTAGTATTAATAATAAAGGGACTGGGAATTGAACCCATTGGTTCTTTACGACTGAGCTATATCTCTAGTCCTATCTATCTATCTATCTATCTATCTATCTATCTATCTATCTATTTTTGTGGCACTGAGGATTGAACCCAAGGCCTTGTGCATTCAAGGGAATCACTCTACCAACTGAGCTATATTTTTTATTTTGAGACAAGGTCTTGCTAAGTTGCTAAGGCTGGTCATGAACTTGTGATCCTTCTGCTTAGCCTTCCAAATTGTTGGGATTACAGGTGTGCACCACCCAAGATTTGGTTCTTTTAAAAGATAACCAAAACTGCAGGGCTGGGGATTGCCTCGCATGCATGATTGATCACCAGCACCAAAAAAAAAGATTACCAAAACTGGGGCTGAAGATGCAGCTTAGTGGTAGAGCACTCGCCTCGTGTCAATGGGGCTCTGGGTTCAGTGCTACCAAAAGAGAAAAATTAACACAATCATTATTGTCT